AACAAAAATTGATCATAGAAATAGAAGCTAAAACTATAAGACTTCTAGAAAAATATGTGGAAGAAACACACCATAAACAAAAATTGATCACAGAAATAAAAGCTAAAACTATAAGACTTCTAGAAAATATGTGGAAGAAAATCTTTGTGTCTATGGAATAGGAAAGTTTTTTTAGATAGAACAGACAAAAAGAACAAACCATAAAATTAAAAAGTATAAATAAAACATTATCAAAATTAATGACTTTTAGTGCAAAGACACAATAAAAGAATAAAAAGGCAATCCACAGACTGGGAAAAACATACAACACACATACCTAATGAAGGTCTTGTATTGAGACTATTTAAATAACTATAATCCAACAGGAAAAAATATGTTTTAAAATACTTAATGGGCAGAAGATTTGAACAGATAGTTTACAAACAGAGATATATAAATGTCTAATAAATGAATGAAAATTGCTCAACATCCTGATTATCAGGAAAATGTATCTTTAAACCACTACACAGTGGATTATCTAAAATTGAAGACTGACACGCCCAAGTACAGTGAGGATGTAAAGCTATGGAAACTTTCTTATGTTGCTGATGAGACTGTAAAATGGAACAACCACTTTGGATAACAGAATGATAATTTCTCATAGAGTTCAACATAAACTTCCCATATTGCCCAGCAATTCCACTCCTAGTTATTAATCCAAGAGAAATGAAAGGGTATGTCCACATAAGTTATTCGTAACTGGTGAATATTCATACCAGGTTTATTCATAATACCCCAAAACAATAAACAACCCAAATGTCTATCAGCTGGAGAATGGATAAATAAATTACAGTATATTTATTCTATGGCATATTACTTGGAAATAATGTTGATACATACAATGCAATGAATGAATCTCAAAACTGTTATGCTGACAAAAGAGCATATGCTGTAAGATTCCATGAAAATCTAGAATATGCAAAACTGATCAATAGTAAAGGAAAGCAACCCAGAAGTTGCCTGGGACCAAGGACAGCAAGGGTTTACTCCATAGGAGCACAAGGGAATTTTTTGAGTGATGGAAGCATTCTGTGTTTTGATTGGGGTGGTTGTCACACAAGTGCATACATTTATCAATGTTTATTAAACTGTATATTTAAGATGTGTTCTATTTATTGAATGTAAAGTATGCCACAATGTAACATTTTAAAGTATAAAAAAATGACTGCACAGAAAGGTCAGTGTATATTTTACCATTCAAACTGGAGTGCAACATTTTGAGATCACAGAACTTCCCAAACGGATTATTTCCAGTTGGACTGTCCTTACTGTAATCATTTTTTCTTGAATAGAGCTATTCCTATGACAAATTGTATTCCCCAAAGATGGCAAATGCTATTCTACAATATTACCTTGATACTCCTCCCATCAAAAAGTAGGATCTGTATCCATTTTCCTTATTTCTTAGTACACTGACTTGCTTAGAACCAACAGAATGCAACAGAAGTAGAACCACATGATTTTCAAGTCTGTTGGGAAAGATGTTGCTTCCCCCTGGTTCACTGGACACTAGCACTGAAACCCTGATTCATCACGTAACAGTCCAACTCCCTGAAGCCACCATGTTGTGAGGAAGTCCAAATTATCCCAAGAAGAAAGATCACATAGACACCCTGAGAAAGGTACATGGAGAGAGAGAACTGTCCTGCCAGACCCAAGCTCCTATATGTTCCTGCAGGAGACACCCACTTCCAAAACCACACATCACAGGTTTACAAATTTCTAACCTACAAAAACTAGGGGGTGATTTGATATGTAGTAAAAAATAAAGGGAACATCCCCAGCAACATCCTCAATAATACCATGCTTTATGCAGTGCTCAAAATCAAGGGAAGGAAGAGGTGAAAGAGGAGGAACAGGGCCAGGCACGATGGCTGGTGCCTGTAATCCCAGCACTTTGGAAGGCCAAGGCGGTGGATCACGAGGTCAGGAGTTCAAGACCAGCCTGAGCAACATAGTGAAACCTCATCTCTACTGAAAATACAAAAATTAGCTGGGAGTGGTGGCACACACCTGTAATCCCAGCTACTCAGGAGGCTGAGGCAGGAGAATCGCCTGAACATGGGAGGCAGAGGTTGCAGTGAGCCAAGATCATGCCACTGCACTCCAGTCTGGGCAACAGAGTGAGACTTCGTCTCAAAAAAAAAAAAAAGAGAAGGAACAGAACCACTCCACTCCACACTCCTCCTAAACAGAAATCGACACACTTCCTTTACTTCAAAGACTGACTAAATACGTGCATTAAGTAACTCTCTGTTATCCTAGAAGAGTAGCATTAAATTATCCCCAGTGAGAGAGCTTGGCTTTTTCACAGGGCAGGAAGGGATGATGACAGATTAACTGTTAAACCCACAAGCATGATACACTCCTCTTCTGGATCCTAGACTCACTCTGAGGCTTCTAGAAAAAGGATTTTACCAAAAGTATATGGGGAAACATCAGCAGAAGGAAACTTCAGAAACACAGGCCTGTTGTTTCTTTCTCAGTGAAGATTCATGATACACATTATGTAAGATATGGCACCAGACCAGAGCTGGCCCAAACAAGACTTTGAAAAATAATTCCTACTCAAAACACATCAATCTTGATGCATCAGCATTTTGACAAGACAAGCTGAACTTCAGGAAGGCCTACTGACTGGTAGGCTTAAGTCCTGCCATGGCAGATAGTGGGCAAACTGCCTTTACCCTGATCAAAATCCATCCATCCATGTCTGCTAGGCAGCAAGCATGAAATAATGAAATAAGATAAATCAAAGCAAAAATAGGGCCACAAAGAAGCATACATACTCATGTACACACACACACATGCACACAGACACACATACACATACACACATGCACACAGACCCTTCTCACTCACTAGTCAGGAAAAGAGTGCAAATAGAAACAAAGTATGTGCGTGTGTTTAGTTAAGTGGGAGTTTATTTTCCAGTTTCCATGGGAAATAATTGAGTTAATATTATCTTCCCAAAGTAAATACTTTTATGCAAAACACCCTCAAACTAATCCCAGGCCAAGATTCCTGCTGCAGCCTCCTTTTGCCCTCACGCCTCCGAATTCTCACACTGTGGTCTAAAGCACAGAGGATTACTAACAGAGGGGCATGGCCTTGCTTCTTCCCCCAGCTTTTCTGAACGTTGAATTGCTGAGTCTTTTGTATCTCTCTTGCCAGATCCTACTGCATGAGATGGGAGACAAAATCTAACGGGAAACCAGAAATATGAGGACCCCTGGAGTCTGACTTTGTCAGTTCCTCTTGGCCATGGACACTTTATTCAGACCCTTACTGGGTCTTTTCTGGAATTATGTTAAGCCAGGAGGTCTGGAGTTTGTTTTGGGTTGTATTTCTGTGGAGCCCTGTGAGGTTTTGTGTTACTGTGTTTTTAACAGTTTTTTCCCATATATTGTTTGTTGGGCTCTGTTTGCTTGCCTCAGTAAAGGGTTATTATTCATACCCTATTCATCAACCCCTCTCTCCTTCCTCAACACCACCAATCACCTTTTGCTATCATCTGCCTCATCTGAAAAGAGCCAGATACTTCAAATGTCAAAGTAATGATCACTATGTATTTTTTATCAACAAAGCCTACATTTTCTAAGCATGATCCTTTTGGGAAATGCAGTAAGCTCCTGACATTTTGAGGGGACAGGTCCAGAGACCTTCTTCAACCCCCAAATCTCAGACACAGGAATGTTTATACATTACTCAGGCCTCTGGCTCTGAGTCAAGAGGACTGAATTTCCTTTGCATGTCATCACTCTAACCACATGTTGACCTGGATAAATGCATATAAATGGAGAAAACATGAGCAGCTATAGACTCATACACATTTATTAAATTATTGAAGATAAGTATGAAGGGAGACCTTCAGAGGAATCTGAGATTTCTGTTCTTGACAGGAATTAAGCTCATGCATATTAAAGATCAGTTGTTGAAATCATTAAGCTAATTAGAGAAACATTACTAAAAATTTTTATCATTACAAAGTACGTGTTCCGTTTTTGCTCAGTGTAGTCACTGGAGATGAATTCTAGACTTACTACAAATCTGAAAGCCCTTATGTGTCATTAGAATATCAATGTCATAAAACCATACATATCACTCAATGGATACACTTGCAAACACTGTTAAACCAAAATAAGAAAGTATTCTGGAAAGTATTGAGAAGGCAATAAGGAAAAATTGTACTCAACCAAAATGTCCAACAAAGGCAAAGCAATAAGAATTGTCTATCCATTTCCTGAACTACAATGCAAATTGAAATTATTAGCATGTAATCATTGCATTGCAGATGCCACTGTCCCAAGGGCCCTGGGTTCATTAGGGGCCATTACCGCATTCACTTGGCTCAAGCCCTCATCTAAGAAATAATTGTGCTAAATAACTAAGCATTCCCTGCTTTCAGGCACTGATTCTATGTATTCATTTATTCAGCAAGTGTCCAGCATATTGGTACTGGAATGCTAATTTCATGACTGAGCTTAAGAAATAACATTCTTAATATGATAGCCACCATCTCCAGTGATGTACTGACAATCCTTAGCTTAAAAATCCCACCTCTACCACTGTTTGTGTGACTTTGGGAAAGACAATTAACCTGTCCACTGTTTAGTTTATTTATTTGCAAATACAGATAACACCTCTCATAAAAGTTATTATGAGGATAAAATAGCACTTTGGGAGGCTGAGGCAGAAGGATCACTTGAGCCCAGGAATTTGAGACCAGCCTGGGCATCATCGTGAGTCCCCCATCTTCTCTTCAAAATATTTTGAAGGGAGAAATATTTTTTGTAGACAAATATCTACAAAAATAAAAATAAATCAGCTGCGCATGGTGGCACGTGCCTGTGGTTCCAGCTACTCAGGAGGCTGAGGTGGGAGGATTGCTTGAGACCAGGAGGTTGGGACTGTAGTGAGCTGTGAACATGCCACTGCACCCCAGCCTGGACAACAGAGCAAGACTCTGCCTTAAAAATAATAAGAAGATACAAAGTGTGTGGCACAGAAGGCAGGCTCTATTGACAGGTATTATTGTTTGTCTTGTTACTTTAACATAAAGCCGTTGCGTCTGCCTACTATTCAACTATTCACAAGCGTACAGGATTAAAATCAATCTACAAGCATAAGAAACACACCATTTCTTTTCCTTAGATATTTATAATTCATGGTGGAAATTATAAAATCTCCTTTTCCAATGCAAAATTTCAACCAAGACCTCTTGTGTGCTTCACTTATCCTTAAACCAGGGTCCTGAAATGTGCCATGTGTCATGTCATTACACATGGAGAAAGGAATATTTATCAAAAACCAGTTACGTACTAGCCACTGCTCAAGGCATATATATACTCTTTCACATTGCTATCCCCATTTTTAAAATGAAGAAACAGAGGCTTAAAATGCTTAAGTAACTTGCCCTAGATCCCAACAAAGTAAATGAAAGAACCAGGATTCATATTTGGGCCAGTTCAACTCCAAAGACCATGCGATTTTTTGTTATGTTCAGCTGCTAAGCGTAGTTTCTTACCACAATGTCATGAACTATTGTTACAAGAAAATGAGACCGTTGTTTACTATCTGCCGTGGCTGTTTAAATCAAGCCTGAGGATATAAAACTTATGACCTCTAAGTCTCAAATAAAAACCCACTTGAATTAAAACAAAACAATGGAAAATGCCTTAGTAATAATATTCAAAAAATCTTCAGAATGTGAGGTATCAGTTGGCTTGGTTTAGCGGAATGTCCCTGCGCAGAGATGGATGGACTTCATGGGTGTCAGAGCCATCAGCTTTGCCAGAGTAGAATTTGTGAGTCTAGCGTGATGTGTTCTCTCTTCCTGGTCATCAAGCTATAATTTCAATTTGCCATAATTATCCTTTGCTATGGTTTGTGAATTTACATCTCAGCAAGATTACAAATTCTGACTAGGCTTCATTTTAAATGGAAGAATAAATTACTTTCATTCTTTCAGTATTCGAGTCGTGTAGGCAAAGAAAACCATGCCTGGCGGTATCTTTTCCAGTTCCACAGTGCTCTGACAACACACGCTTCTCCAAAGAATCACTAAGGCTGAGCCCCAGAGGGTGTCACGTGTCAAGGGCTAGCTCTTAATCCATCCCCTGGTATGGCACCTGGCATGGAGGGGCTGTTCAGTAAATACTGTTCAATGAATAACTGAATGAAATCCTGTCTGCTCTAAAAAGCAAGAACACAATATCATTCCTTCCTGATTTCCTTATACCAAGACTGGCCTTTCTTTCTACCTAAACCTGCCTACCCACAAAAGCCTCCCAACTCACAGGCCAAATGCAAGGTAATGATACCTTCTATCCCACAGGTCTTGAGAGAATCAAATTGGATGGGGCTGTAGGAGCCTGGGAATCACAGCATTTGCCCCACCCCCCTCGAAAATGGGGCAGAGGGAATGTGTCCAATTTTCATCCTTGGCCACATGTTGAAATCACTTAAGGAGCTTTCAAAAAATAGGGACCCTAAGTCCCACTCCAGTTAAAGCAGAATCTCTCAGGATGGGGTGAGCACTAATAATATTTAAATGTCCCCCTAGTAATTTGAACGTGAGGCATAGATGGAGGAAGCCAGGAAAGGGGCACACCAGCCCCACACATTAACTGTGCTCCTTGATTGGGAGGGTAAGAAGACAGGAAGCCCAACATGGAATAGCAGCTGCTGCTGTTGGGCGAAATTCCCTTCCCAGCCCTGTAGTCCTGGCTGCCACCTGGGCTACCTTCACCACCTCCTTCCTACTCCTCTAAATGGTCCTGGAGCAGGCTGCAGTCTCATCCTGGACAGGGCAATGGGGACCTGCCCCAGGCATCCAACTCTTTTTAAATAGAACTAGCCTCCAGGTCATGATCTCCACTATTATCCCACCTTGTCCTCAAAACTAAAGATCCCAAGTGACAAGCCCCAAATGGGTACAGATGGACTGTACATAAGCCCAAGGAAAGCACTGTGGAAAGGACTGCATGTCAGCAAGTCCTCAAGACAAGCTGGGAAAGGAAGAGTAGCCAGAGACCCAAAATGCCAGACCTGTTTATGTCCTCAGTGTTAAGAGGAAGTCACAGATTCATAACATTGGGGAAAAAATGCCTCTTAGATCTAATATGGTGAAGGAAATACACAAGGGTGTGCGTGCACGCCTGCACACACACACACATGATTTGTTGGCTGAAGCCCCTAAGTTCATAGCCCAACTCTTATGCATTGAGTTTGTGTTCCCCCAAAATTCCCATTTTGAAGACTTAACCTGTCAGCATGGCTGTATTTAGACATGGGGCCTCCCTGGAAGTAATTAAAGTTAAATAAGATTTAAAAAAAGGTGGGGCCTTGGTCATATAGGATTAGTATCCCTATAAGAAGAGATACTAGAGAGCTTGTTCACTCTCTCTCCTTCTCTACCATGGGAGGACACCTTGTGAAGGTAGTCATCTGCAAGCCAGGAAGAGAACCCTTACCTGGAACCAACTCTACAGGACCTTGATCTGGGAGTTTTGGCCTCCAGAACTGTAAAATAATAATAATAATAATAATAAATACATTTGTATTGCTTAAGGTATCCAGTCTGTGGTATTTTATTACAACAGTTCAAGCAGACTATGACACCAACCTTAGACAAATCACAACATCTTTGAGCCTGAGTTTCTTCATCAATAGAGATAAATCCTACCTGTCCATAAACATCAAATGAGATCACATATGTTTTAAGGGTTTTGCAAACAATAGAGTATTAAGTAGGCATTAATTCATTCATTAATCTCTACCTCTGTGCTCTCATACTTTAATCCCTCTGCTAGCTGAGCATTTACCACATTGTATTAGATTGAATTGTTTATATGTCTCTTCTGTCAGGTTTTAAATCCTTACGGCCAGGAGCCAAATCTCATTCATCTTTGTATCCCTATGCCAAAACACACAGTCACTGCTCAAGAAAGGCTTATGGAACAATCCCAAGGTGGCATTGGATAGTCTTTCTCTGTGTCCCATAACACCATCCTGTATACTTCGATCACTTAGCATCAGGTATTGGAATTCTTAGCTTTTGTGTTTTTCCTACTGTCCTATAAGTTCCCACATGGTAGAGACTACTTATTATCATTACTATATCCCTAGCAACTAGTACAGCACTTGGTACCTAGTACGAGCATTGATGAAAAGAAGGGAAAATGATTCCTTTCTTGAGGAATTTGCATCGTTGAATTTCATTGTTCAAAGCTGTCCTGTATTCAATCCATCATTTCTAACAGAACAAACTGAATGCTTTCCATTTCACCAAGTCTTTTTTCAAATGGCTCCCAAAAGGTCCTAGCTCTTTTATCCTACTATAGCTGGAAAAGTATCTGAATGCATCATTTTATTGTGCAAGTCAATATCATCCCCCAGAGAACCAGGACTGGTCATTTATGTCAACAGTAGTTGCTATGCAACCACTCTCCAAGGCTTGGTTGAAAGATCCAGGGCTGAGGCGGTGATTTTTCCCACCTGGAAAGGACTATAATTTCTAAGGGGAAAAATACACCGTTATGCAGAGTCACTTAATCTTTTTACAAAAGAAAATTTGACCACATCAAAAAAGTATATTTTCTAGGTTTCCTATGCATATATAGCCTTTACATAAATAGACATGTATATTTAGCCACAGAAACCCAAACACACGTACACTACATATGTATTTATAAATATGTAGATGTTTATTAAACACTCTTTCTATTCTAAAGACGTTCCAAGAGAATTATATCATTTTATTTCTTTTAACAGAAGTAAACTTTTTAAATGAATTTCTATTTCCTCGTGGCAAAAAAAATTTTTTCAGAAAATGGGGGGAAATAAGAAAATAGAGAAGCCTGTGTCAAACAGCCTAGATCAAACCATTGTTAGCCTTTGCTATGTAGCCTTCCAGATGTTTATATATAAGAATATTTACATATTTAAAGCACAAAAATGGGAACATGTTATATCCAAAGTTTGGATACCTCCTTTCTTTAAAACTTAGCATGCCATGGATGTCTTTCCAAGTCAACATAGAGTCATATCATCTTAAAGGCTACATAGTATGCCATTGCTTAAATATATCATAACATATTTATTTTTCTGTTGTGCCCATTTTTTCACCATTGTAAATAATAAGCATCCTCATGCACTCTTCAAAAACTCATCTGATTGTTTCAGTAAGATTAATTCATGCACGATGTCAAAATGATGCACTTATTTGAAGCCTTTTAGAATACTTACAAGTAAATAATCTAATATTACACATTTGTTCCAAAAAGCTAGATTTTTAATCAATACAGATTTAGTCAAATCTTGACATAATTTAACATTTTTTTAAATAAGAATCCAAGGTTTGTAAGGACACATTATAACAGAATAATTTGAAGTTTCTCCTCTTATTTTGCTGTATAATCATTCATTCTATACCCTGTTACCATCTGCCACACAAACTAAGCTGTTTTTCTCAGCTCACTGTACTTCCTGCCTTCACTCCTCATAGCCCCTCCCCTTGGTCTTTCCTGTTGTTATCAGCTGCATTTTAAAATTGGCTATTGATGACCTTACCTGGGCTCACAGCTGAGCCTGAGGTATACCTTCAGAACTTCCACGTGGGATCTGGGGTGGGTTCATGCTTATGTCAATATAAAAGCCGGATGTCCTCAAAACATTCAATTGGAAGTATGCTGACAGCTGCCTTTCAAAAGACGTGTTAATTTCTGTTAAAACTGATTTCTTCATTATTGAAAGCATCAATTTCTACCACTTGCAACCTTGTCTTGTTCTTCAAAGTCAACACACACCCTTTTGCCATTGTAATCATCCTAAATATGCAAATTTGATCATTTTTTCCTCTCTCTTTCCCTTTTTAGAGACAGGGTCTTGCCCTGTTGCCCAGGCTGAAGTGCGGTGGTGTATTCATGGCTCCTGCAGCCTCAAACTCCTGGGCACAATCAACTTACATTCACCTCAATCTCCTGAGTAGTTGGGACTGCAGGAGTGCCACAACACCGGCTAGTTTTTTTTGGTTTTTTTTGTTTGTTTGTTTGTTTTTTTGTAGAGATGGAGTCTAACTATGTAGCCCAGGCTGGATTTCAGATCTTGCTTAAAACATTAAGGCTTCCAACACCAATAAAATCCAAGCTCCTAAAAATGACTTCAAGGTCCCTCCAATCTCACCCCATACCAATCTCATTCCTATACCAGGCTATCTGCCATTCCGTGGACACATGATATTTCCACTTCATACATTTGCCCACACTGCTCCTATTTCCCTGCCTTTTTCACTTTTCAGCATATTTTTAACTTGCCCCCAAAGCTATCCATTCTTCAAAATTTCTTTCTTACATCCATTTCTTTTAAAAGCCTTCCCCATTTACTCCAAAGTAGAATCTCTCCAAGGAACCAGAATCAAGAAATACCCAGAGTATCCAGGACCAGGTAGCCAAGGTCTGGGTCCACATTTGCTAATAGCATCTGAAAGTTCACTACTTTGGAAATAGTAAGCAATAGTCTACTGCATTAAAGCCATTCTCAGCCAGGAATGGTGGTGTGCGCCTGTAGCCCCAGTTATTTGGGAGGCTAAGGTGGGAAAGCAGCTTGAGCCCAGGAGTTGGAGACTAGCCTGGGTAACATAACAAGACCCCATCACTTTAAAAAAAAAAAAAAAAAAGTAATCATCACACAACAGAAACTAATATTGTCAAATGAAATGAAATTGAGCAAGAGAGGATATTAAGACTACAGGATTAGCTCTTAACCCCTTCTATCTCCTGATAACCACCAACAGTACCTGACCAAAAAAGGGGGGGCAAAATGTTAACCCCCAAGTGGTGCCAGAACCCTCACTCCATGCACTTCCCAGATCCCCTCCCTATTCTTTCACTCCCCCTCAATCCTGAGAAGCTAAATGGACAAATGGACAACGGGTTGATTATATATAAAAATAAAACCAGAACCCATAACCTGCAGCAACCAGCCCAGGAAGCCAACCTACTCTCTGTAGTAACCAGTCCAGAAAACCAGACAATAATCTCTATAGCAACTGATGCAAAAGGGTCAGGACTCAACATTTGACACTGACTGCTTCCCTTATTTTTGTTCCCACTTCCAATTTAGGGCCAACTGGAGAAAACCAAATAAGCACCCTTAACTAATCACATAGACGCCCATTCCAATTAGCCCACCTGTGATTTCCCTATGCTAACAGCCTCATCAAGGTGTACTGAAGGTCTTCTCCTTTTTCTACTGTGAAACTTTCCCACTCCTATGCCTGCTTTCGAGTCTCTGCCAAATGTGAGTGGTGGTGACTGACTCCCTTGTGAGAGAAAGTTATATGTAAATAGCCTTTGCTTGTTCTAATTTGAGTGGTCTTCATTTATTTCACAATCCCAACCTAAGCCCCACAGCTGAAAGGTGACTCAAAAAAGTTTTCTAATAAACACATTTAACAATTTTGATTCAGCCTGTACTGAGTGGACCAGCATGACCACAACTCAGTCCTTTTTCATTTGAAATGTTAAAGCCCAGAAAGTTAGTGTGGCAACCCAAAGGGTCCTAGATTAGAAAAGCCTGGACCCATAGCTGGAAAGCCAAGTCCCCTCCTGGCTCTGCCATTAACTTGCTTTATAATTTCAGGCATAAGATCTTAATGTCTCTGTGTTTTACTGTCTTATATATAAAATGGAGATAAATCCTATGTTTGCTCACAGGCTTGGTATAAGAATAAGACAGGGCTGGGCACCATGGCTCACATCTATGATCTCAATACTTTGGGAGGTCAAGGGAGGAGGAATGCTTGAGCTTAGGAGTTTGAGACTAGCCTGGTCAACAGAGAAAGACCCTCATCTCTACAAAAAAAATAAAATAGCCAATCACAGTGGCAGACACCTATAGTCCCAGTTACTCAGGAGGATTGCTGGAGCTTAGGAATTTGAGGCTGCAGTGAGCTATGGTCGTGTCACTGCCCTCTAGCCTGGGCAAGAGTGAGAGCCTGTCAAAAAAAAAAAAAAGAGAGAGAGTAAGAGCATAATATTCGACTGTGCTTTAAAATGGTTCCTAATTGTGAAAATATAAGATGTTATGTCAGATACATGCAGCCTTTCTTCCAACACCCCTTGGTGCCTCAGACATGGAAGAGATCAAATAGGGATAAAGGAGGCAAAAAAAGGTTGGCTCCAGGTACATTAGCCGGACGCAGTGAGCAAGCACGAGCTGCTCAGCCACTGGAGCTGGTTCCTACTCATGTTGTTCTATGCTTTCAAACTCCCACACACACGCCATCCTCCGCCAAAATACATAAACCTCTTTGAATTACACTCCTTCTCTTACAGGAGCAATTGACTACAGTCGGATATGATTTGTCTTTGTTTGTTTTAATTTATGGATGACCAGGAATGCTGCCCTACCTTCTTTTTTCAAACACCCACCACTCCTCCATCAGAGGTCCTCTTCTGGGGTCTTCGTTTTCTGGTAATTTTTTTTTTCACTAAGAATAGTTGTGGTTAGAGGCAGCTCCAAGCACAGCCCCCAGTCCTAAGGCTCATTAAGGACATTCTCCAGTGCTTAGACTACAGCAGTAAATCATCAGCTCCAAGAAGGGGAGGCGGGGCATGGATGGCAACTGGAGATCCTTCAGCTGGCGTCCAGGAAGGAAGGCTGCATGGGTCTCATTCCAGGATGACAGCCCTTACAAAGGTGAAAGGTTTGAGGAATCTAAGAGGGAAAATACTGAGACCTATAAACACAATTTTCATCTCTCAGCCAACACCTGCTATTTTGCAAGCTTTGTAAGCAGTCTAAGGAAAGAACCAGCTCTACTCAAACATTGCTCAGAAAAGCATCTCAGCTTAGAATTTGTCACTTATAATGCCCAAGAATGATTTCTGCCACACCCACCTCCCAATATTAGAAGGTAGCTTTTGACTGAAGTACCCTGAAGGACAAGTGACAAGCTAACATCTGAACCCAAAATACAAAACAGAACCACTTTTGCTTTTCCTGACTTCAGTATCAATAGAAGACTATACCTCCAAGACTAGCATTTTCCAAAGTTGTTAATATACATACACCCAAAATCAAAAGAATAAGAGTGTATGAGTTTGGGAAAAGTTAATAGATTCCTTCTCTTGGATCACAGTACACATTAGCATGCTAAAGTTTGACAAGTCCTACATTGAAGAAACAGGTTTATGGAAAATACAGCATTTCCCAAATTTGCTTGACCACAGAACCTTTTTGTTCCTAACACCTATCAATATTCTGCAGAAAACATTGCCCCAGAAAAGAAAAGCCTGCATTTGGCTGTTGGCTGTTTTGATTTTGTTTGGTTTGAAGATAAAGGCAAATTTGCTTCCAAAGATAATTTTCTTGGTACATAAGTCCTCACAAGAGTGATGCTGACATTTCCGTGAATCCCAGGCCCCAGACTGGTAACAAGTGTTGATTACTCTCAATGATTCTCCCTGCCCCCCACTCCTACCTCCTACTACCTCTCAGCTCTCTTCTGCCACATCTCCCCCAGTGAAGACCAGCTGATAGCTTCACAGAGTCCATGTGGCACAGAGTAAAACAATTTAAATGGACACCACCCAAAGAAATCTGTGAAGCAGATGATAATGTCAAATATACATTCAGAGCATTTTTATGCGATTCTTAAATGGAAAGAAATATTTCTTTCCTTTCAATCCTTCCGTTCATAATTTTTAACAAATGGGCTTCTTGGAGTATACAAATTTAGGGATGGAAGGAAAAGATCTGTATATGGAACTTAAGTTTTAATTAAAGAGAGCATCCAAAAAAAAGTGCCAGGTCATTTCCAAGACCCAGCTAAGGAATGATTTTCTGTCTATCTGTGCAAAACTATTCACAAAGTATTAGTGCATGAAAAAACAAGTTGCAAAACCATATACACAGAGTGATTCATTTTGTAAATGCAGTTGACTCAATGTTTATTGAAAGATAAGTATGCATTAAAAGAAGACTCTAAGAATTTATATCAAATTGACAGTAATGAGATCTGAGTGAAACTCTTTTTTGTTAAGAGAAAATTTTAACTTTCCTCATATAAAAATGATATTTTTACAATAAAAATATTATTTTGGAAATGTTCTAGTCTACCGCTTGTGTTATCTGCAGAGAAATATCCAAGGATGAAAAAAGCACTTTTACTCATGAGGAGGAAGGATCATGAGACCAGACTGTGTGGACAGTGAGCAGCCAAGGGCAGGACCAGAGCCCCCACAGCACTTAGTGAGGGCTTTTTCACACAGCAGGCATCAAGCACTTGCCATAAGACAAGATAAACTATAAGGTAACAGCAGCAAGTCATGATTCTAAATACTGGGGACAACCCATACGTTCCAAGTAAGATTAGCCAGTAGGTATAGAGAGGTTACAAATAAGATCCCAAACCTAAATACTCAATACAAAACCACCCCCAGCCCTGACATCCCCAACCACTGCCCCCTCTACACACGCACCTACTTATTAGCTGGAAGTCCAGTACTTTTTTTAATTTCCTTTTCCCAACCAGCTCAAATAATTTTCAGAGCTGTAACCCAAATGTCCACTGGTTGGTAGGTCTTTGGATCAATTCCCTTAGGGGTCATAAAGAAAGGTGGAGATTGTTGCTTAGACAATTATGGCCCCCACCTGCCTTCTTCTCCCTGCCCTGTTGACCACTTTTACTCCATCACCCCTCCAGGCCAACTAGTCTCCTCTAAGCTATGCAGATCAGCTGCGCTTCACCTCTAGCCAGTTGGGCAACACCTGCTGCCTCTCATCAGAACTCTTGCAGAAGAGTCTGCCACAGCAGAGTTGCTGAACCCCTCTGGTTCTCTCCTGTGTACACAGCCCCATTCCCCATAGATTGGATAGAGTAAGAAGGCATTGCAGGGCTAGAAAGGGGGTCTGGTGGTTGTGCAAGGGGATTTGGGGAATAAAGGCCATGTCTGAGTTGAAAATCACAGCCTCACGTTCTATCTGAACTCTAATATTTAGGCCCTGCTACTCAGCTTAGCTCAAACGGCCAAAATTCTTTCTCACACAGAGATATTTTTAAAATAAATGTTTTGTCTCTCTCTCTTCATTCTGGCTTCCTTTAGACACCCCCTGCAAGTACCTCAGAAAGTACAGTACATATTAAAATTCCAAAAGTGGACAGAGTTCACTTGTTTTTCCCACAAGAATCTTGGGCTCCAAGCAAAGCAGAAACTTTGGATAAGTTTCATTCCCTGATAGTTGAGATGTTAAGAAAAATTCAATTGCAAAATAATAACAATTATCATCATCCAATTTAAAAATGAGCAAATGATCTGAATAGACACTTCTCAAAAGAAGACTTACAAATGCCCAACAGATAGATGAGCCAATGCTCAACATCACTAATCATAAGAGAAAGGCAAATCAAAACCACAATGAGATATCACTTCATCACAGTTAAAATAGCTATTATCAAGAAGACAGAAAATAACAGGTGCTGGCAAGGCTGCAGAGAAAGGAAATGCTCATACATGATTGGTGGGATTGTAAATTAGTACAGCCATTATGGAAAACAGTACAAAAGTTCAAGAAATTAAAAATAGATCTGCCATATGATCCAGCCTTCCCACTGCCAGGTATCTATCCAAAAGAAAGGAGATCAAGGTTTGGAAGAGATATCTGCTCTTCTATGTTTATTGCAGAACTAATCACAATAGCTAAGAAATAAAACCAGCCCGTGTCCATCAATGAATAAATGAATAAAGAAAACGTGGTGGCCAGCCGTGGTGGCTCACACCTGTAATCCCAGCACTTTGGGAGGCCAAGGCATGCGGATGGCCTGAGGTCAGGAGTTCAAGACCAGCCTGGCCAAAATGGTGAAACCCAGTCTCTACTAAAAATACTGAAATTAGCCAGGCATGGTGGCAGGCACCTGTAATCCCAGCTACTTAAGAGGCTGAGGCAGGAGAATTGCTTGAACTCAGGAGGCAGAGGTTGCAGTGAGCTAAGATTGTGCCATTGCACACTCCAGCCTGAGCGAAGAGTTAGACTTCAACTCGAAAAGAAAAGAAAAGAAAAAGACAATGTAGTATATGTATACAATTGAATATTATTCAGCCATAAAAAAGAATGATCTCCTGTCATTTGTAATAACATGGATAGAACTGAAGTTCATTATGTTGAGTGAAATAAGCCAGGCACAGAAAGACAAATATCATGTGCTTTCAGACACAGGGAGGGGAACATCACACACCGGGGCCTGGGGGGTGGGGGCTAGGGAAGGAATGGCAGAGGGTGGGGGGATTTGGGAGGGATAGCATTAAGAGAAATACCTAATGTAGATGACGGGGCAATGGATGCAGCAAACCACCACCATGGCACGTGTCTACCTATGTAACAAAGCTGCATGATCTGCACATGTACCCCAGACCTTAAAGTATAATAAATAAATTTTTTTTTAAAGTTAGACAAATTAAAAAAAAAAAGAAAAGAAGTTTTTCTCAATGCCCCTTGGTATCTTCACTTGGAAATACACTCTGTCATGCTTCCAGTAGTCAAGCTGGTTTCATCTGTGTAGAGCAAGGAGAGAAAGGTGTTCCTGCTGCAGTTCTCTAAACAGCGGCGTAGTCTAAAATCTCGTCAGCTGGGCGCAGTGGCTCACCCCTGAAATCCCAGCACTTGGGGAGGCCAAGGTAAGCGGATCACCTGAGGTCGGGAGTTCAAGACCAACCAGCCTGACCAACATGGAGAAACCCCATCTCTACTAAAAGTACAGAAAATTAGCCAGGCATGGTCGTGCATGCCTGTAATCCAGGCTATTCGAGAGGCTGAGGGAGGAAAATTGCTTGAACCTGGGGAGCGGAGGTTGCAGTTTGCCGAGCTCAGCTATTGCACTCCAACCAGGGCAACAAGAGTAAAACTCAGTCTCACAAAACAATACAAAACAAAACAAAACAGAACACCTCGTCAAGTCTATAGTCAATTTCTGGGTACTTTGCCCCTAACTTAACTATGTCACTATGTAACCAAGTTATGTAATTAAATAAAAGAAGCTGCATTGAAACACTAGCCTTAACATTCTTCTCTCCATCATGATTTTAAGTCTTATGAGAAGGGAAATGATTTTGTAGAACTCTGTGTTTGTGTACGTTTATCTGTCCATACCTGGGAATATCTATCATCACATAAGGATAAAACCCCTAATCTTCATGACTCATTCTCTAATAAGTTGAAACCCTGTAAGTTTGCAAAGTTTGTAACATAAATTTGTTTATTTAAATACATATACATATATATATGTATATATGTATATATATATACATATATCTCACATGTTTTTACTCATATTTGAAAGCTAAAAGAAAGTTGATCTCATGGAGGTAGAGAGTAGAATGATAAATACCAGAGGCTGGGAAGGGTAGGAGGGAGGGAGGGATGAAAACAGGTTGGTTAATGGGTATAAAAATACAATTAGATAAAAGGAATACATTTTAGTGCTCAATAGCACAGTAGGGTGACTATTATTGTATATTTTGAAATAGCTAGAAGATTTGGAGTGTCCCTAGCACAAAGAAATAGTAAATGTTTGAGGTGACGAATATCCCAATCACCCTGACTTGGTCATTACACATTGAATATATGTGTCAAAATATCATATGTACCCCCCATAAATACATATAATTGTTATGTATCAATTTAAAAATTACTTCAGAAAAAAAGTGCCTCCCCCTACTCCCCGCACTCTGCCAGCTTCCTAGGACAGAAGATACACCAGCCTCAAACAGAGACTCTTTAAGGAGGGCTTTGCTAATTCCAACCCAGTCTCAGCTCCGACGTGGCCACAGCATCTTACCACACATGTGACCATGCAAAGTAAGATTTTTACCCAAAATCCCCATTCAGAGCTGAAAGGAGCCTTAGTCATCACTAACCTCCTCATGTTACAGATGAAGATGAACAGCCTCAGGATCACATCAGCCAGGTAACAGTCAAACTTAGGCTGGACTCTAAGCCTCCTACCTTCTAATTCAGTCCAGTGAAATACCAAGCCCCTAGTATGGGAAAACAACAATGGTTATAGCATAGTATACATAATTAGAGACATTAAACCAATTCAGTTTCAAACTCTATACTAGTTTATCATTTTCTTTTACAAATGTCATTCCCTTCATCCTTAATATTCTGATTGTACAGATAAATAAATTGAGGCTCAGAAAAGTAACCTTCCCCAAATCATACAGCTTGGACACAGTAGAGTCAGAATTCCAACTAAAGCCAGTATGAACTCAAAGCCTATGTTTTGTTTTGTTTTGTTTTGTTTTGTTTTGTTTTGTTTTGTTTTCCACTTTGTTACACTGACAAATGCTTCTCTATTTAAGCATAAAGTGGTGATTTATCAAATGGATTTACAAAGAAAATAAAACTGCCTAGGTGTGTTGAATGGCCCTGAATTCTCACATTAAAAACCAGTTCCAAATAAATCAATGTTCTGTTTCAAAGTATTTTTTAAAACTACTATGATCTCTTTATTGATTACAAAGAAGAATGACAAGATGAGCTACTATGAGGAATAGCAATGTTATTATTCTAATCAAGTAATTTTGGGTGGGGAATAGTACAATGCCTATGTGTTGCCAGGACATTGCAAACATCAAATAGTAAGTTATTTAAAAACACACACACACACATAAAATGTCTCTTTAATCAATGGATAACCTCCTTTAATTCCTGAAAACAACTAGAATGTAAGACAGCACCAATTCATTAAAATTTTATAAATTTAGAGCAAAGAAAGATTGCCATAGTTTTGCAAAATTCTCTTGTACGTACATACTCATACTTCTCAATTTGCCAGATGTAGGCTAAAAAACTGGAAAAAAAGCATAACACTTCCCGACAGTTTTTGGCCAACAAACACATCAGTAGACTTGGGGGAGGATAAGTGTGTATGTGCATGTAGGGGTTGTATGTGTTATAGCATACATGAGTGTATAAAGATTTTGTTCCCACTATACCAGTTGATTAAAATAAATATGATATATTTGGGTGCATGTCAATGTTGCTCTGATTGAAAACAAAACAAAATCAGCAAAACTACAAAACAGTAGGTACACCTTCTGTTCCAGAAAGCAATTGAATCTTCCTCCATCTAGAGTTTCTCTCCAGCCTAGTTCATAGATTCAGTGAAATATACACATCAGAGAGAGATTCAGAGAGGGACCATGTGGACTCCATCTATGTTTTGCTTGCTATCACAGTCTTTCCTTTTTCTTTCCTAGGAACATTTTCTAAGATTTTAAATATAAACAGTTTATACAATACAGAAGTAAAAACCATTATCATTCAGAGATAATTACAATGAAGATTTGGTTCTACATACTTTCTATTTTGGATATACTAAGAATAGTTTTAATTATATTTAATCATTTAATATATCTTTTATGTTTTCCTCACATTTAGATATATTCTTTGAAATATAATTTTTTAATGGTAGCATAAAATATTATCACATGTATGCTCAATAATTTATTAAGTCGTGTTTGTATTGTTTTATATTTAGATTATTTGCAATGTTTTGCCATTATAAATATTAAATACGTATTAAATGTATGACACATACATTTTTGTCTGCATACGAATTGATATCCTTAGAATGTTAAAAAGTACTTACCAAAAGTAGAATTATTGAGTCAATTCCATTTTCAAATTTTTCTTTTTTTACTCAACTAATGTTCTTAAAAAATTTGAACAACATAGAAATACATAGAAAAAAATGAAAATCCCTCCTGCCTACCTAATTCTATTCTTATTCCTATCACTATTGCAGTCTTGAGTTCAGTTCATTCTATTACTTATTCTTTCCATTAGACTTTTTTTATTTTGACAATGATTTTTAATTTTCAAAAACTCCTCTTGTTCTCTGATAGTACTTTTTTATAGCTGCCAATTCTTATTTTATGAATATGATAGATTATTTGAATGTTGTTATTTATATCCAAAGACAGAAAATAAACTTCTTTTATAATCTTTTTTGTTCTTAATATTCTCTTTCTGTGGTCCAGTGATCTGTTCATTAAGCTTGATCCTTCTCCTTCTTGCTATTGGTGTTCTACACAGCACCTGAGAGTCTTAGAATTCCCACTTATCTCTATGAATGAAGACCTGAGAAGCTTTATTTAGGTAGCTTTGCAGTTGCAAAGGTCTTTCCTCACCCCCACCCTAAAAAGTGTGAATTGAGGGGGGCTGACAACATGCTTTCTAGAAGGTTCCACATCCTAACCAGACGCCCTGCCGAGGCAGCAGTTGACTCTCTAGTGTGAAAATTTCCTTCACCTCTATGACCTCTGGCTCAGTGTGAGAGAATTTATGAACATAACTGGCCCCTGTTCAGTAATAATGACCCATCTATTGTCACATGAGCCCTTCTGTTCTTTGTTCTCTTGAAATTTCTTAAAATCTGCTCTTATCTACCTAGGTGTTTTCGGTGTGTTTTCTCAACCCTTATCAAGTCTATCCCATTACTTTTCATCACCCAGGAAATTTCCCACCATTCCTCATGTGTTGATGTCACCCTTTCTTGTTTTCCATGAAATTGGTGGATCTAGTCTTTGACAAATATATTTTCTTTTATTTCAAGGGATTTAGAGGAAGGCCAGAGGTGGTCAAATATGCTGCCTAAACCAACACATGGATCCAACGCACCACACCTTTTTTCTCTTTTAAGAATGTTATTTTACATTTGATTTTTATTGCCTATCAAAACCATCATCATCTTTCTTATTAAAGTTGTTTCAGAAAGGTGTTAGATACACAAATCAGAAAGCACTGATCCCTAATATACAGCAGAAAGAGAGTATCTTGTCAGGCAGGCTTTTTGCGATTTTAAGAAAATTCTTTCCTAGAAACCCTTAGAAAATATATCTCCACAGCTCATTGAACCAAAATAGGCCACATAAGTCAACCACGGTGAATAAAGGAAATAAATGTACTGATTTGGCTTAAACAAAAATAATTATTGGATTTAAAGTTGGTTGTGGTCTGCTATTCAAGAAACAGAAGTATGTATGGGATGGGAGGCTTGGAAAGTACAGAGGGGTGGATTATAAACAGAATTCAGAGTCTACTACAAAAAAAAGTGGCGGGGGGGAGGAAATAAGCTAAAATAGCAAATGGCCAGCACAGTCATGAAACAATATGAATATCTACCAAAACACAGCCATCTAGATGCTGTAGCAGCACATTTGGGCTACAGAGCTAAGAATCTGCTCTTCCCTAAGTGGTGGTTACCCTTGCCCATTGCACAAAGTTTTTCACTTTTAAACTCTTTTCACAGTGCATTACTAAGAGATCTCCCACCCAAAGAATTTTTAATGACTGTATGATTGTTACACTTTATATTAAAGATTTTAAACGGAGATATTTACCATGAGTATTCTAAATTGTAAAGTCTTAGGGCATAGTCCTCCACAAGACTGCCCTCACTTAAGACACCAGTCTCAACTTCAGGGATCCCCATGGCCACCCTCATTTCAGACCAGCTGGCTACAATTTTGGGTACCTCCACAGACTCCCTCAGGTTTAATAATTCACTAGAATGACTCCCAGAATCCAGGAAGTGCTATGTTTAGAGGTGTATTATGGCAGAAGGAGACAAACTAGAACCAGCCAGAGAAGGAGATGTAGAGGGATAAATGTAGGAAGTTTCTGTCATCCTCAAATGCGTATTACTTTCCTGGCATCAAAGAGTTACGATAACCAAAGAGTAATGCCAGCTGGGCATGGTGGCTCAAACCAATAATCCCAGCACTTTGGGAGGCTGAGGCAGGCAAATCACTTAAGCTCAGGAGTTTGAGAGCAGCCTGGGCAACTTGAAAAAAACCCCTTCTCTACAAAACTACAAAAGTTACCCTGGCATGGTGGTGCATGCCTGTAGTTGCAGCTACTTGGAAGGCTGAGGTGGAGGGATTGCTTGAGCCCAGGAGGCAGAGGTTGCAGTGAACAGAGATCATGCCACTGTGCTCCAGCCTAGGTGACAGAGTGAGAACTCATCTCAGAANAAAAAAAAAAAAAAAAAAATAGAAGAAGAAAAAAAGGAAACTTACACTTCAATGTCCAGAGTTTTTATTGGTGTTTCATTACATATGCATGATGCATGATTAGTGAACCATTGCCCACGTGACTCAATATCTAAACTCCTCCCTCCCCAGAAGTTGGACTGTTACAGAGTTGGACTGATATCAAGTGGCTCAAAGTTTCAACCCCCTCTAATCATGTGGTTGGTCTTTCTGGGGTGGGCTGCCCCCATCCCGAGTCATCTCATTAGAATAAACTACTAGATGTAATCTGAAGGACCCACCATGAATAACAAAGACATACCTATCACTCAGGAAATTCCAGAGGTTTAGAGATTACCTCCCAGGAACCACAAACAAAGGCCAACCAAATTATTTATTAAACACATTTCATTTAGAAGAGCTTATTACTGAAGTTGTATTAAATAAATTATTTTATTACCATCTTTAATATTTATAATAAATCAAAGAAAATATCCACCTATTCACTGTTTAACAAGTAACATTAAATGCTTGATTTATTTAAACTTAACTATATAATATAAAATATTATTTCCAACAAATAGATTTTTTAAATGAATTATATCAAGTTTGAATTAGAGTCCAAGTATTTATGAAACTATTGACTAAATTTAACTGTATATCCTGGCATAAAAACAAACACACATACAAAATTGTGACCCAACATTTAAGATTCTTATATTTTACATTTTTTAAAAGTTAAAGAATTTATTTTTATGATTTTATGTTTTGCTTTTAAAACACATAAAAGATTTTCAGCTATTATTTGGAATCATTTATCTGCAAATAATTCATTGCAAGGTTTTTAACCTTTATTGCAAATATACAGAAAGTCAACTGGTTATAATTATCAATATATTTTCTTTTTTAATACTAGAGTTTTTAAATTAATGCTGAGGTTCCTATTATAATATTGGCAGAAATGGTGATTCATTAGTTTAACAGACTGTTGCAACACAGAACTGTATAGTATTAACGGTAGTAAATGAAACTAAATTATTACTTTAAAGACTATTAAACAGACTCACCCATTTACTCTTTTATAAATTAATTAAAATACCATTTACATTTCTTGTCATTACCTTCTTTTCCTTGCTTTTAAGAAGCTCTTTTTTAAATTAGCCTTATTGAAGTATAATGAAAATACAATAAACTACATCATCTAAAATGTAAAATTGATGACTTTTGACAAGACACATGAAAATACCATTACAATCAAAATACTAAACATTTCCATCACCTCCCGAAAGATTCCTCCTTTCCTCTACCTCAGCCCCAGCCTCCACTAATGTACTTTTCATCACTACAGATTTCTTTGCATTTTCTAGAATTTGATATAGATGGAATCACGCAGTATGCCTATGCTCTCTTTTGTGTATGGTTTCTTTCACTCAGCACAATGGTTTTTGAAATTCTTCCATGTTCCTACATCTGTCAGTGGTTCATTTATTTTAATTACTGAGTAATTTTTCATTATATTGATATATTGACATTTTATTTGTCCATCCAGCAAATATTGATGGACATTTGGGTTATTAGCAGCTTTGGGCTATCATGAATAATTATACTAAAAACATTTGTGTACAAACATTTTTGTGGATATACATTTTTAATTTTCTTTAGAAAATCCCTGAGAGAGGTATTCTGGTTTTTATATTAAGGATATGTTTAATTTTTAAATAAGCTGCCACACTCTTCCAAAATAGAACCATTTTACATTTATATGTGCCAATCTTTTGTCCACTTTTTTCTCACTCTGTTGCCCAGGCTGGAGTACAGCAGCACAATCTCGGCTCGCTGCAACCCCTGCCTCCCAGGTTCAAGCAATTTTCCTGCCTCAGCCTCCCAAGTAGCTGGAATTATAGGCAAGCACCACCACGCCCAGCTAATTTTTGTATTTGTAGTAGAGACAGGGTTTCACCATGTTGGTCAGGCTGGTCTTAAATCCCTGACCTTGTGATCTGCCTGCCTCAGCCTCCCAAAGTGCTGGGATTACAGGCATGAGCCACCACGCCCAGCCACTACCTTTTTTATTTTGTGATTTGTGCCTAATGTGTAGTATCTAAGATGTCCCTGACTACACAGATCTACAAAATTTTCTCCCATGTTTTCTTTCAAAATTTTTATAGTATTGGCTATTATAAGTCTATAATTAATTTTGTGTTAATTTTCTGTACAGAGTAAGATATAGGCCAATGTTCTTTTTCATGTGAATACCTGGTTATTCTAGCACTATTTGTTGAAAATCAATTGAACACATGTACGTACACATATAATACATATGAAATTATTTTTGACCTCTATTCTCTCTTCTATTGATCTATGTTACTTGTATTGATCTGTATGCCTATCTTTTCACAAATATACAGTCTTAATTACTCTAACTTTATAGTAAGTCATAGAGCTAAGTAATATAAGTCCTTGAACTTGGTTCATTTTAAAAATTTCTTGGCGGGCCGGGCGCGGTGGCTCAAGCCTGTAATCCCAGCACTTTGGGAGGCCGAGGCGGGTGGATCACAAGGTCAAGAGATCGAGACCATCCTGGTCAACATGGTGAAACCCCGTCTCTAATAAAAATACAAAAAATTAGCTGGGCATGGTGGCGCGTGCCTGTAATCCCAGCTACTCAGGAGGCTGAGGCAGGAGAATTGCCTGAACCCAGGAAGCGGAGGTTGCGGTGAGCCGAGATCGCGCCATTGCACTCCAGCCTGGGTAACAAGAGCGAAACTCCGACTCAAAAAAAAAAAAAAAAGAAAAAAAAAAAAATTTCTTGGCTATCTTAGGTCATTTGCATTCTGTGTAAATTTGAGAATAACATTTTCAATTTTTAATTTTTCTTTGAGACAATCTCTTTCTCTGTCACCCAGGCCGGAGTACAATGGCACAATCATGTCTTACTGCAACCTCAACCTCCTGGGCTCAAGGGATCCTCCCACCAAGCCTCCTGAGTAATCAGGACTACAGATGCACACCAACCCACCTGGCTTATTTTTGTATTTGTTGTAGTGATGGTGATATCGTTTGGCTCTGTGTCCCCACACAAATCTCATTTTGAACTGTGTTCTCATAATTCCTATGTGTTGTGGGAGGGACGTGGCAGGAAATAATTGAATCATGGGAGCAGTTTCCCCATACTGTAGTGAATAAGTCTCATGAGATCTGATGGTTTTACAAAGAGTTTCCGCTTTTGCTTCTCCCTCATTCTTTTTTGCCACTGCCATGTAAGAAGTGCCTTTTGCCTTCCACCATGATTATGAGGCTTCCCCATCCACATAGAACTGTAAGTCGATTAAATCTATTTTTCTTCCCGGACTTGGATATATCTTTATCAGCAGTATGAAAATGGACTAATACAGATGGGGTCTGGCCATGTTTCCCAGCCCGGTCTCATTATTAGGCAGAGTGCTATTCAGATTATCTGTTTGATCCTACATTAACTGTAGTTGTATTTTTCAAGAAAGTTATCTATTTCATCAAAGTTATCTCCTTTTCGGCATATATTTGTTCACAATTTTATCTTACTATTCTTTTAATTTCTGCAGGATCTGTAGTGATAACCCTTCTTTTTTTCCCCAATATTGGTGATTTATGTTCTTTTACATTTGTGTCTGTTTTAGTGATATTTTCTCTTGTCTTTATTATTTCCTTTCTTCCAATGACTTTGGATTTACTTTGTTCTTTTTCTAGTGTCTTGAGGTGGTACTGTACATCACTTTTCTTTGTTCTGTTCTAATATAAGCATTTAAAGCTACAAACTGCTCTCTAAGCATTTCTTCAGCTAAATCCCACAAATTTTGAAGTATTTTCATCATCACTGAGTTAAAAATATAGTTTATTTGTGAATTCTCCTTTGTCCTATCAATATTTTAAAATGTTTTTCTAATTCCAAAATATTTGGAATTTATCATCATTGAATTAAAAATATAATTTATTTGTGACTTCCCCTTTGACCTATCAATATTTTAAAATGTTTTTTAATTGCCGAATATTTGGGATTTATCTAAATATTAATGATGTTGGTTTCTAATTAATCTCATTGTGATCAGAGAACATAATCTGTACTATTACAATCTTGTAAATATATTAAGGTTTATTTTACGGCCCAAAATATGATGTATATTGGCAAACATACCATATGCACTAAAACAAATGTGTATTACACAAAAATGATGTTTTTCAGTGGTTGAATAAGGCATCCCATAATTATTACTTGGATCAAGAAAGTTGATAATGTGTTCAAATCTTCTATCTTACACTGATTTTTCGCTAGTTGTCCTCTCAAATCCTGAGAAACAGTTAAAAAATATCTTCCACTAAAATTCTGTAATTTTCTCCCTCTAATTCTGTCCATTTTTGTTTCATATATTTTTAGGCTCTGTTTTAGGCAAATACACATTTATGTTTGTTTTGTCTTCTGATGAATTAATAATTTTTGGCATTCCTTTTTATCTCTGGCAATAGTCTTTTTCTTAAGATCTATTTTATCTGATAGTAATTTAGCCTACTTCAGCCTTCATATGCTTACCATTTTTGACATAATTTGTTTCAACAATTTTCAAGCTATTTGTATATTTATATTTCTCTCCTAGTCATATGTAATTGGGTCTAGCAACTTTTATCCATTCTGACCATTCCTGCCTCTTATTTGGTGTGTTTAGTCCATTAACATTGCAAATGTGCACTCAGCTATTGAGTTATCCCAAAGAAAGAGAACTAAAGCTTCCAGTGATGTTGGCTAGGGGATAAACTATGAGTCTTAACACTAACAACCACAAAGACAAACACAGAGCATGTACCCTTAGAAAATAAATAAGAGAGACTGCAGTTGACTTCACAAGAATGTTTGAAATCTTAGTGAACTAAAAATAAACCAGCTGTGAGCTCTCCAGAGGATAAAATTCACTTTGTGTTGCAACAGTTTTGACATATTGAACTCCGATGTCATGGTCATAGCCCTATCAACGTAATGGGTTTACTGGGTTCAGGAACCCTTTCACTACTTAAATACTTTTGTTTTACAACTGATTGATAAAATTGGGGAAATACATTCCTCATGAAAAATTTATGAGCCAGAAATTCTGAAGAAACCAGTACAAAGATCAAAAGCCATTTTTATCCTGAACTAAAGCTATATAGAACAATACATCAAGCAAAGTTCTCTTTTCCTGAAATTCTGTCAGTGAAAGTCAGAAATAAATTAATGGCTCACACATTTAAAGCTTCTGTTAAAAATGTGAGATGAATATTTTCTTTTCTTCTTCTGTGTGTGTGTGTGTGTGTGTGTGTGTGTGGGTGTGGGTGTGTGTGTGTGTAGACAGGATCTTGCTCTGTTGCCCAGGCTGGACTGCAGTGGTGCAATCACAGCTCACTATAGCCTCAACCTCCCAGGTACAAGCAGTCCTCCCATCTCAGCCTCCCAAGTAGCTGGGACTACAGGTGTTCACTACCATGGCTGGCTTATTTTTTTGTAGAGACAGTATTTTGCCATGTTGCCCACATTGGTCTCAAACTCCTAGGCTCAAGTGATCCACCCACTTCAGCCTCCCAAAGTACTGGGATAATTTTCTACTTAAAGATTCATCATAAAATATAGCTAATTAATTTAAACAAGAAATATCTAATTCATTTTCTTGTTAATATGCATTTTTCAAAATAAATTGATTGCTAAGAAGGAAATAACTTTTTAATGGATTTTTTGTGGGTTCCCAGAATCTGTACAAAATAATTCTACCCATAAATGAAGGCTCTAGTTAAGCTCCATGTCTTGTGCTCATTTCAGCGAACATATACTAAAATTAGAACAATACAGAGATTAGCATGGCCCTTGTGCAATGATGATGCACAAATTTGTGTTCATATAAAATGTATATAAAATTTAAATTTAAAAATATAAAAGAAAAATTTTTTAAACTCATTTCTTTCCTGAATGCTCCAGATTTCTCTAGCCCACAATTCCCTCCCCTTTCATAGAGCTTTTATGCAGCTTTTTGTCTACTCCACTTGTTTTAATACTATGTGGATATTTGACTATGGATCTTGACCATTGATAATTTACTGGAAGAGATGAGTAGCAAGTAAACTGATTAAATCTTCCATGACTCTGTGGAAAGAATATAGGTTAGCTCTCAAATGTCATCAAGTCTAAAAGTAATTTTTAAATGGTTATTGCATTTTGCCCAACATTATATTTGATAACAGCAGGAATTGCCTATATAGAGTAAACTTCTTAGCATGTCTCCTTCCCAAGAGAAAGGGAGCTCTGATTCTTAATGGCCATTGCCATTTACCCAGCCAGAATACCTCCAACATACAAATACAGACTTGTCAAGGTGATGTAAAAGTAGTCAGAATCAAAGTGGAGTCACACATTCCCTCAGACAGGGGTTAGAGGCAGAAGGGATTGTGGCAGACGGGAGGCAGGACCAGATTGCAGCTTCAACTCGGATGGACAGAGCAGTGTGTGGAGGCTCACATGGTGAATTTTTGCTCCAGAACAACTGCGGGAATAAATCAGGAAACCCAAGAGGACTCACCTACCCCCCTGAAGGAAGAAGATTGCTCCTGCAGGACCCAGGAGACATCCCAAATACTGTGCTAGTATCCACAGCTATTGGGACCCACAGATGTTTCATACCATAAGACTCTGTCCGGACAACCCCCAGTACCAGTCTGGAGCTTGGTAAACTCGCTGGGTGACTAGATCCAGAACAGAGATAACAGTCACTACAGCTCAGCTCTCAGGAAGCCACATCCGTAGGAAAAGGGTGAGAGTATTACCTCAAGGGGACACCTTGTGGGACAAAAGAATCTGAACAACAGCCTTCAGCCCTAGATCTTCCCTCTGATAGAGCTACCCAAATGAGAGGGAATCAGAAAACTAACTCTGGTAATATGACAAAACAAGATTCTTTAACACCCCCCAAAAGTCACACTATCTCACCAGAAATTGATCCAAACCAAGAAGAAATCCCCAACTTACCTGCAAAGGAATTCAGGTGGTTAGTTATTTATTAAGCTAATCAGGGAGGCACCAGAGAAAGGTGAAGCCCAATGTAAGAAAATCAAAAAAATGATACAATAAGTGAAGGGAGAAATATTCAATGAAATAAATAGAATAAATTAAAAAATATAAATAGAATAAATTAAAAAAACAATCAAAACTTCAGGAAACAATGGACACACTTACAGAAATATAAAATGCTCTAGAAAGTCTCAGCAATAGAATCAAACAAGTAGAAGAAACAAACTCAGAGCTTGAAGAAAAGGTCATCAAATTAACCCAATCCAACAAAGGCAAAAAAGAATAAGAAAATGTGAACAAAGCCTCCAAGAAGTCTGGGATTATGTTAAACAACCAAACCTAAGAATAATCTGTGTTCCTGAAGAAGAAGACAATTCTAAAAGCTTGTAACATATTTGGGGGAATAATAAAGAAAAACTTCCCCAGCCTTGCTGGAGACTTAGATCTGCAAATACAAGAAGCACAAAGAACACCTGGGAAATTCATCACAAAAAGATCATCGTCTAGGCGCACTGTCGTCAGATTATCTAAAGTTAATAGGATCTAATTAGTTAATCTAATAAGGAGAGAATCTTAAGAGCTGTCAGACAAAAGCACCAGGTAACCTATAAAGGAAAACCTATCATATTAACAACAGATTTCTCAGCAGAATCCCTGCAATCTAGAAGAGATTGGGACCCTATCTTCAACCTTCTCAAACGAAACAATTATCAGCTAAGAATTTTGTATCCAGCAAAACTAAGCTTCATATATGAAGAAAAGATTCAGTTTTTTTTCTGAAAACAAGTGCTGAGATAATTCATCACTACCAAGCCACCACTACAAGAACTGTTAAAAGGAGCTCTAAATCTTGAAACAAATTTTGGAAACACATCAAAATAGAACCTCTTTAAAGCATAAATTTCACAGGACCTATAAAACAAAAATACAATTGAAAAAACAAAAACCAAGGTATACAGGTAACAAATAGCATGATGAATGGAATGGTACCTCACATCTCAATATTAACATTGAATATAAATGACCTAAATGCTTCACTTAAAAGATACAGAATTGCAGAATGGATAAGAATTCGCCAACCATCTTCTGCCTTCAAGAGACTTATTTAACACAGAAGGACTCACATAAACTTAAGGTAAAGGGGTTAAAAAAAAGACATTTCATGCAAATGGACACCAAAAGAAGCAGGAGTAACTATTCTTACCTCAGACAAAACAAACTTTAAAGCAACAATGGTTAAGAAAGACAAAGAGGGACATTACGTAATGATAAAAGGCTTTGTCCAACAGGAAAATATTACAGTCCTAAACATATATGCACCTAACACTGGAGCTCCCAAATTTACAAAACTATTACTAATAGGCCTAAGAAATGAGACAGTAACACAATAATAGTGGGGGACTTCAATACTCCACTGACAGCATTAGACCGGTCATCAAGATAGAAGAAAGTCAACAAATAAATAATACATTTCAACTATATCCTGGAACAAATGGACTTAACAGATATATACAGAACATTCCATCCAACAACTGCAGACTATACATTCTATTCAACAGTTCATGAAACTTCCTCCAAGATTGACCATATGATAGGCCACAAAATGAGCCTCAATAAATTTAAGAAAATCGAAATTATATCAAGCACTCTCTCAGACCACAGCAGAATAAAATTGGAAATAAACTCTAAAAGGAACCTTCAAAATCATGCAAATATAATGGAATTAAATAACCTGCTCCTGAAAGAGCACTGGGTGAAAAATGAAATCAAGATGGAAATTTTCAGATTCTTCAAACTGAATGGCAATAGTGACACAACCTATCAAAACTTCTGGAATACAGCAAAGGTAGTGCTGAGAGGAAAGCTCACAGCCCCAAATGCCTATGTTAAAAAGTCTGAAAGAGCACAAACAGACAATCTAAAGTCACACATCAAGGAACTAGAAAAACAAGAACAAACCAAACCAAAACCCAGCAGAAGAAAGGAAATAACCAAGATCAGAGCAGAACTAAATGAAACTGAAACAAACAAACAAGAAAATACAAAAGATAAATGAAAAAAAATCTAGTTCTTTGAAAAGATAAATAAAATTGATAGACCATTTGCAAGACTAACCAAGAAGAGGAGAGGAAAATCCAAATATGCTCAATTAGAAATTAAACAGGAGACATTACAACTGATACCACTGAAATACAAAAGATCATTCAAGGCTACTATGAACACCTTTATACACATAAACTAGAAAACCTAAAAGAAATGGATATTTTCCTGGAAAGATACAACCCTCCTAGTTCAAATCAGGAAGACTTAGACACCCTGAACAGACCAATACGTGCAGTGAGATTGAAATGGTAATTTTAAAATTATCAACAACAACAAAAAAAGTTCAGGACCAGACAGATACACAGCAGAATTCTACCAGACATTCCAAGAATTGGTACCAATCCTATTGACACTATTCTACAAAATAGAGAAAGAGGGAACCCTCCCTAAATCATTCTAGGAAGCCAGTGTCACCCTAATACCAAAACCAGGAAAGGATATAACCAAAAGAGACAACTACAGACCAATATCCCTGATGAACATAGATGCTAAAATCCTTAAAATACTAGCTAACTGAATCCAACAACATATCAAAAAGATAATCCACCATGATCAAGTGAGTTTCATACAAGGGATGCAGAGATATTTTAACTTACACAAGTCAATAAATGTAATACACCACATAAACAGAATAAAAACAAAAATCAAATGATTATCTCAATAGAATTCATCCTTTTATGATTAAAACTCTCAGCAAAATCGGCATACAAAGTACATACTTCATTGTAATAATAGCTGCCTATGACAAACCTATAGCCAACATAATGGGGAACTGTTGAAAGCATTTCCTCTGAGAACTGGAATAAGACAAGGATGCCCACTCTCACCACTCCTCTTCAACATAGTACTGGAAGTCCTACCCAGAGCAATCAGACAAGAGAAGATAGTAAAGGGCAGTCAAATCAGTAAAGAGGAAGTCAAATCATCACTGTTTGCTGATGATATAATTGTTTACCCAGAAAACCCTAAAGACTCCTCCAGAAAGCTCCTAGAACCAATAAAAAGAATTCAGCAAAGTTTCCAGATACCAGATTAATGCATGCAAATCAGTAGCTCTTCTATACACCAATAGCAACCAAGCTGAGAATCAAATCAAGAACACAACCCCTTTTACAACGGCTGCAATAAATAAATAAATAAATAAATACTTAGGAATGTACATAATCAAGGAGGTGAAAGACCTCTACAAGAAAAACTACAAGACACTGCTAAAAGAAATCATAGCTGACACAAACAAATGGAAATATATCCCATGCTCAGGGATGGGTAGAATCAATATTGTCAAAATGACAATACTGCCAGAACAATCTAGAAATTCAATGCAATTCCCATTAAAGTACCACCATCATTCTTCACAGAATTAGAAAAAAAAAATCCTAAAGTCCATGTGGAACTAAAAAAGAGCCTGCATAGCCAAAGCAAGACAAAAAGAACAAATCTGGAGCTATCACATTACCTGATTTCAACCTATACATAAGGCCATAGTCACTAAAATGCATGGTACTTGCATAAAAATAGGTGAATAGACCAATAGAACAGAATAGAGAACCCAGAAATAAACCCAGATACTTACAGCCAACTGATCTTTGACAAAGCAAACAAGAACATAAAGTTGGGAAAGGACACCCTTTTCAACAAATGGTGCTGGGATAATTGGCTAGCCACATGTAGGAGAATGAAACTGGATCCTCATCTCTCACCTTATATAAAAATAAACTCAAGAAGGATTAGAGAGGACAGACACGG